TCTTCTTTCTGTCTCTCTGTCAGTGAACTGTGAGGAGTTTCTATGTAAAGAAGAGAGTCAGATCCCTGTGGATGAGGTCTTCTTCCATCGGTGAGTTCAAAACGATTCCACTCAGAAATTACTGACAAAACATAGCTTTTATTTCTTCACACACAACAAGTGTTTAGGTTGTGAGAGAATGAGTCTCCTCCAGCTCTCCGTGATCACCTGTACTGTGTTTTAATGCAGCCAAATTCTAGGGTTGGTCATCGTTTCAATTCGTAATCGATTCTGATTCTACGTGTTGAATCCGGTTCTTCTTGAACCTCGGTTCTGGTTCCAACCCCTTCACCACAGATCTTCATCCTCTTCCTCCTTGCTCATCTTCCCCTTTATGGCTAAAGTGTCTCTAAGAAAAATATATATTGGAATCATTTGTAAACATCATTTGTTTCCCTTCAGTGTCAGTGTTTCCCACAAAAAAAAATTTGCTAACAAGGAGTGTCGCCCCCGTCAGAGCTGTCAACAAGTTTGATGAATTGTCCCTTTAAATATTTGCACATTCATTTGAATACATTATGCATCAAATTAATTGATATTGATTCAATTTGTAATCTTTTCTTATTGAATTGTTGAATTTTTATCTTATCATCTACCACATGGTGCATACTTTCTGATGACAAAGTGGGCTTAAATTGTAAAACACAAAATTTAAACGTGACGCAAATATACCATTTATGCACATTGTTGCTGTTATTGATAAACCACTTTTTCTGCACCTTTATAACATCGGCTACGTTGACGTTTAAAAGGAGAGAAAGTAATTCATATTCAATACAACCAAAAAGTTTCCGTTACCAAATGAGCTGCAAACATATTCATTTATGCTAGAAAAACACCGTTAGGCTGCGTCTTTTGTGAAACTGTGTCTTGATTCCAGGTAATATTAAAAAGCCTTTTTTACTTTTTGCTGAGTTCTCTGAATACTCGGAAAATGATTAACCACCAATAATCAGTACACAACTCACTGCTTCATCAAACTATCACATCTGATTGTCGTCGTTCTGCCGCAGATCCACTCAGATTTCTGGTGAAACGTGTCTCGAGTCAACAGATCGATGCAGTTTGTGATGTTTTTTTATTCCCTCGACAGCTTCTTCAGGAAACGGCAGCAGGAGAAGCAGCTTCGGCGGCCGCGAGCAGACGGAGATAACGAGAGCGTGGAGGACGTGGACGATGACGAGTTTGAGAAAATACTCGGTGAGTGGAGACACTGTGCTGTTAGAGCAGGTCGAACTGAAGAAGATCCCTACTTTGAAATTAAAGGATTTAACTTTAATGAAAATAATACAATTAAAACTTCAATTTATATATGAACCTGTTATATAAACCAGTAAATATATCTGTATCTTTGTGTTTGAACAGATTCCTGCGAGGGAGACTCTTACTTCACTGACCTGGCAGCTGACGATCTGGACTTTGCAGGGTGAGCACACCAGATCTCAGCTTTAGTTTTTAAACCACCTGCCAGGTCAAGTTAGTATTTTGTTCCATATGAGCACAACAAACAACAGAAAAGGCACAACCCCCCTGGTGCAGAGCAGAATACGGCTGACTGCACTAATATAACATTGAACCGGACTAATAACGCAGTTAAGGTATTTTATTCTCAGAAGCTCTAGCGCCACCACGAGGTTCACATCTGTGTTTTTTTTTAGTGAAATATCTAAACAAGTGTTGGATGGATTGACATTAAATATGGTTTTATTTGGTTATTCACGGTCCACAGAGGATGAATCCTACATACTTCGGTGGTCCACGTTCTCTAGTGCCACTTTGTTAATGGCCACACATTCCCATCAGCCTCAGCTGCAGTTTGTGTTTAGTGCTAATTAGCTCATATTAGTAAGACTGCTGAACGTTATACCTGCTGAACTTCATCATGTTAGCATGTAGACTTTAGCATTTAGCTCAAAGCACCACGGTGCCCATGTACAGCCTCACGGAGCTGATAGCGTGGCTGAAGACTCTTAAGCCAGGTCTCAATTTGGATACTTCTGTTAGTACACTTCCATGTAAGTACACTCTCTGTACACAGTGTACTTACTTGGCTGTTGAGCACTTACTGGAAACAGCATTTGACCGGTAGAGCACTGCATTTTACCGGACTTGTCAGTCTGAACGCACCACTGCACAAAAAATAGTAAGTGTAAGCACACGAAGAACGTGAAAAGAGAGAGGCAGCATTAGTCTTGTTACGCTACCAGCAGGAACGATCTAAGAATAGAGACGTTGACGTCGTAGTTTTTTAATCCAGCCAACCAGTCGGTGGACGTTTTTGGTTGATTCTCAATCTTCTCCCTCTCGTCTGTTTGTCAGTAATGTGAAGAGTAAAAAAGGTAAGAAAGACAAAGACCTGGACGACTCCGACTCAGACATGGACGAATCGGACTTGGGCGAACTGGACGACGAGGAGGTGTCTCTGGGCAGCATGGACGAGGAGGACTTCGGAGATGAGCTGGAGGAGGAAGGAGGGATGTTCCTGGATCCCGATGGAGGCGGAGATGAGGATGATGATGATGAAAGTAGGGAGTTTGTTTATGGTTCATGTGTTACTGTTATGTATTATCATTTTTGCACATTTTTGTACACGCTTTAGTCCATTTTCAGTGAGCATGTTGTGTCGATATCAGGTTTTTAAGACCGATGCAGATTTTAAAATCTGATCTCTGCTGATATTCTTTTTTTTAACATAAACAAAGATTGTCCCTAATATTTCTTATGTATATCTTATGATACCTCACCAATATAACATGACATAGATTAAAAATAAACTTGTTTTATTGTTATAAATAGTATTTTGAACAAAAATACAGCTGATTGCTGCGTTTTGTACATGTGTTGCCAACAGGGGAGCTGCAGAGCGCCCTCTGGTGGTCAAACTATGCAACAACACCGCTCAGAATAGATCCCTCATAGAAACATCCTTCTCTCCACTTCTCTTTTGAATTGTCATTAGCTGTTATAAATACAGAAACCGATTTATCTGCAATGTGTTCATATCAGCCGTTAATATCAGCACAATGATTTATCAGTCGGACTGTAATTCAAGAGTCTTGTTCAAGGTGATTTTAGCTGTTTCAGGGATTTAACCTGTGACCTTAAAGTTAGAGAATATTACATTTAATATCTGTATTTCTTTGCTTTTCTGTGTGTCTTTTCTCAGTTCCAGAGCTGGAGGATGACGATGCTGCATTCGGTGGTGAGTACAAGTTAACTTTATTAATATTGTATATATTAATTGCGGTTTCATCCCGTTACACTGATGCGCACACGCACAGGACACAAACAGTAAAAATGTCCCCACAACAATATTAGAATTAAACATTGAAACACCATGTCCATACAAAAATATTACAATTTAAATATGAACAAAGAAAGAAATATAGTAAATAAATTAGAAATTTGCATATTTTGAGACAAATGTTAGTAAAATAGAGAAGCGTGTGCTTCAAATACTAAAATGAAACTTTTGTCTCTACAGATTCAGACGATGAGGTGGAAGTTCCAGACATCAGTCCTCGAACCAAGAAGGCGAAAAGGAAATCATCCGAGGAGCTCGACTTCTCTGGATCTTTAGGTTAGTTAGTTAGTAGGAGTTGATTTTATTTATAGAATTTAGTAATCTGAAGTGTTCACTGTTAATTTTGTGAGTAGTAGCAGTTTTATTGATCGCTGTTGCTTCTCACAGGTTCCACACAAGGGAAGAAGAAGAAGAAGAAAGGAAAGAACGATGGAGCCATATTTGCTTCTGCTGAAGAGGTGAGATGACGATAAGAGCCCCCCACTCGTTACCAATGCGTGATATCACGTAAACTCTCATACAGGCAGTTATTTGGGCACCTTAATATAATGCAGCCAGTATGGAAAAACAAAACCCACATTAACAACTGTCACTATCGATTAACCTCCGAATTCATTTTCATTCACAACTTTCCGGAGTCTGAAGTGATTTATTCAAAGTCCTACAACTAAAAACAAAGAGATATTAAAATAAATATTAATTTATATAAACGATAAGCAGTAATTCGTCACATTTGAGACGGTGGAGACAGCAATTTATTGGCATTTGCTTGAAAATAAACACCTCTTAGACCAGGGGTTCTTAACCTTTCTGGCAGTCTGACCCCCCACCAACAACACACATACACCTCCATCACTTAATGGGGTCAAGCTTAACGTTGCATTATTTAATTCTTATTCGGCGTTTTATTGCGGTTGGCATTACTGCCGCGCCACCTACTGGATTAAACTGTGCAAAATATTTACAGTCCCTACACCCGGGGTAAGAACCACTGACTTAGACTCAAAATCCTCCATCAAAGCAACATTTCTGCCTTCTTTCATAAGTCTCCTTTTTTGGATATAAGTTTCCCCCATCAGCAGCAAATAAGCCTGTACGACATAAAAACAGTTTGTTGAACTGGAAACTTGACATTTTGTGTTGCTGTTTTTCAGTTTGGCTCCATGTTGGATGAGAACGCCGGATTCAAGTTCGACAATATCGGACTGAACGCTATGGCCAACAAAGACAAAGCAGGTAAGACGCCTCTGTGACCTCAACACCGCACAACAGTATTATTGGGTTAGTCAAACTAAATCAGGCAGAAAGAAATAGAAAAACAAAGCAGCACTAAAAGAAAAGAACAAAAAATAAACCTCTGAAAATTACCTTTTTTTTATAGTTTAAAGTCTGGATGAGTTGGAGATGCCTTCATCTTGTTTATAGAGCACCTTTCATATACAATTTATTATAAGAGAAAGTTCAAAGACAACATTTGTGATTTTCATTTCGTTTTCTGCTTCAATTAAATGTTTACTTTCATATTCTGAGAAAAATACGTTAGATTTAGTTTGATCTGGAAACAGTGCAGGTTTGTCTGATATACAAGTACATATAAGGTCTCCAGTGGGATCTTTAAGCATCATGTCAGAGGAATAAAGACGAGATGAAGCCAGGGGGAATCAACAGGAAGGTTTTTTATTCCGTTTGCTGGATACCAGCCAGGTTTAATAAAACTTCTCCACAGAGACAAAAGTCAGCTTCAAACAGACACATTTTTTATAAATAAACTACTTCTCACAGCCCAGGAGCCTCGTTTAGAAAGTCTTTGTGGATTTATACTTGAAGAGAGAATTAATTTATTGGTCATCATAACATTTTTACTCTGCAGCTTTGGGAAACAAGCAGCACAAATATCCCACAAAAACACAGTTTAAAGACTAATTATCTGAAACGCTTTGAGTCAGACTTGAAGACGATCTGACCGTGACTACTTTAAATTAGCATTTATAAGAAGCAATTAATTTAATAAATGGTTTGACATTTAAAATTTTTGTTCTATTTAACGTTATATCTTGTTAAAGTCCATGTTTCCCAGAACATCAACAACAGAGATGGCGAGTAAAATATGAGAATAAGACAGAGGTTAAGGTCAAATACTGGTGCTTCTCTGTAGATAAATCTAAGATGAGTCTAGTGATATTCAATATACTTTTAGTTATCAACAAATTCCATGAAAAGACGAACCAACATATAGAAACTATTAAACCCATCAGTGAGCCTCACTGCTGCACGGGGTGCATGTTCCCTCATCGCCACGAACACACACACTGTAGTTTATTCTGACACATGTGGATTCATCCGCCGCTGAAAATAGTCCCCAATAAAGGCACCATTTCCTGCTGTTTGAGTAACATTTGTTAAAAACTACAGTGAGCAGCTGTTTTATGAAATTACTGAAGAGGCTTGAAACAGAGTCACAGACAGGAAGTCTTGAGAGACGGACTAACGTGTTCATGGTTTTGGTCTTTTCATGGGATTTGTTGACAGTAAGAAAATCATTCAATAACACCAGCCTTCTCATTTGAATCACTTCTCACTGTGGGCTCAAAATCAGATCCATAAATCCAGAGGCGGGGCTAGAGGAACAGGTCAGAGACACTGATGTTGACGTCCTCTGCTTGTCTTTTCTAACACTTCCTGTTCGTCCCCGCAGGCCTGAAGCAGTTGAAGTGGGAGGCTCAGCGCGACGACTGGGTCCACGGCCGTGACGCCAAGACGCTGCGCAAGAAGAAGGCCACGTTCAACAGGAAGAAGGTGTTCGGCCGAGCCAAGGCGGGAGGCAAGACGTTCGGCAACAAGAAGAGGAAGAAGTAGGAGCCGCTGTGTGTTTGTTGTTGTTTTTTAACCCGACTTGACGCCCTCAGTCCTGTTTGGCCGACCAGGCTTCGTGGTCTCTCTCTCGGATGCCGTGGACCCCCGCCCACTCGTTGGACTGGTAGTAAACTGGGAGGAAACAAGAAAAGCAGGAACTGGTTTTCAGATCCAGTCAGCTGATGAAAGATGACGTCATGATCTGAAGAGGAGTCGTGTTTAGTTTTTTTTGTAAAAAAAATTAAAAGACTTTGGTATTCGGGACATTAGGCTGTCGTGTTTGAATACATGTACCAATTAAATACTAAACAGATTTATCTTTTATCTGTTCATACGGCGCCTGTTATATGAAAACATGCACATCAAAAGAAATTAAACTTTTCTGCTTCTGTTTGTTTGTGTATAAGACTAATTTTACAGCCCGCAGATGAAAATGCCTGTTAATTTCAATTCTGATCAATTGAGTGTTTTTGGTCTGTTCTCCAGCTATGACTAATTTATCTAGTCCCCCTTCCTTGTGCCTTAATTACAAAAGATAAAATATTATACCGGACCTAAAACATGAACCTGGCAGGACAGCAGTGAGGAGTTGAAATGTAACTTCATCTATTTGCTATGTGGATGCAAGTTTCCATCAGAATGATCAATTATGTAAAATAAATACACGTAATCCCAAAATGGTGCATTGTACCCTGAGATTTCTGGGTAGTTTGTTCAAAATAAGTTTTTTTTCCTTCACTATTTAATTGTTACAATAAACAAAAGTTCAGATTAATACTTTGTGTAACACTGACAAAAGATATTGTGGACTTCTAACTTGTAGAGGTAAATACGTGTTTATGTTGGAGCTAAAAACATTAATCAAGTCAATTTTGGTAATTTATTTATTGTTACGGTAATTTAAAAAAGTAACTAGCACAAATGTTCTGGTTCCACCATCTCAAATTATAGTGTTCGGTGGTTTTCTTTGTCTTCTGTGACATTAAACGACATCACATTGATCTCTGGGAACTTTTTTAAATTAAGAACTCATTTAAGAGGTAAATTCTTTAACTTAAAATTTTTTTTAATACAAATTTAAAATTTAAAAAAAAAAGAGGTAATTTCTATAGAGGTTAATAAAACTTTACATAAATGAACTGGCTAAATTAATCTGTTATTGTGACGTCTGTATTTCACTCACAGTGGAGCCGTTGCATTTAAATAACTATGGCGTCTGTTTAGTGAATAAAACCTGGGTAGTTGTCTGACGTGAGCTGAACGGTTTCTGATTTTAAGGCTCGTTAACATTTAATTGGGAGCATTGGAGATATTAAATGTTTTAACTGAATGTCAAACATCAGCACTTCCTTGTAACTCTACATTTAGTCCGATCCTGACACAAACCACACTGAATGATAACGAGGAAAAACTTCTTCGTCTGCTCACCTTCTAGCACTGACGGGAACCTCCTCTTCATGGTGTTCCTGAAATCTGCAGGTGGGAAAAATGAAATAAAATAAGCTTTTAGAAGATATAAAGTCGGTCCACACAGATCGAAGTGTTCTTCAGCTTGTGTCTGACAGATTATTTAAGCATTTTATCTTTCTGATACCTTGACTGTTGTTCATCGTGTGAAACAGACCGTACACCCCGAAGACGCCCAGCAGCTCCAGCGCGATCACTCCCTTCATGAGTCTCTTGGCCAGAGGTTCCAGAGGTTTGGGAGGCATCTGAAGAGAGAGATCAATGCAACTTCAATTACAAGAATGAAAACTGCTCAGAGTAACCTATAATACAAAGACAGCGTTGTCAAAGTGAACGTGCAAATACCTGAACTTGTTCATGAAAGATACAGTGAGGAAAATAAGTATTTGAACACCCTGCTATTTTGCAAGTTCTCCCACTTAGAAATCATGGAGGGGTCTGAAATTGTCATCGTAGGTGCATGTCCACTGTGAGAGACATAATCTAAAAAAATAATAATCCAGAAATCACAATGTGTGATTTTTTAACTATTTATTTGTATGATACAGCTGCAAATAAGTATTTGAACACCTGAGAAAATCAATGTTAATATTTGGTACAGTAGCCTTTGTTTGCAATTACAGAGGTCAAACGTTTCCTGTAGTTTTTCACCAGGTTTGCTGAGAAACACGGAGTTTGAGCTCCCTCCAAAGATTCTCTATTGGGTTTAGGTCTGGAGACTGGCTAGGCCACGCCAGAACCTTGATATGCTTCTTACAGAGCCACTCCTTGGTTATCCTGGCTGTGAGCTTCGGGTCATTGTCATGTTGGAAGACCCGGCCTCGACCCATCTTCAATGCTCTAACTGAGGGAAGGAGGTTGTTCCCCAAAATCTCGCAATACATGGCCCTGGTCATCCTCTCCTTAATACAGTGCAGTCGCCCTGTCCCATGTGCAGAAAAACAGCCCCAAAGCATGATGCTACCACCCTCATGCTTCACTGTAGGGATGGTGTTCTTGGGATGTTACTCATCATTCTTCTTCCTCCAAACACGGTTAGTGGAATTATGACCAAAAAGTTCTATTTTGGTCTCATCTGACCACATGACTTTCTCCCATGACTCCTCTGGATCATCCAAATGGTCATTGGCAAACTGAAGACGGGCCTTGACATGTGCTGGTTTAAGCAGGGGAACCTTCCGTGCCATGCGTGATTTCAAACCATGACGTCTTAGTGTATTACCAACAGTAACCTTGGAAACGGTGGTCCCAGCTCTTTTCAGGTCATTGACCAGCTCCTCCCGTGTAGTTCTGGGCTGATTTCTCACCTTTCTTAGGATTATTGAGACCCCACGAGGTGAGATCTTGCATGGAGCCCCAGTCCGAGGGAGACTGACAGTCATGTTTAGCTTCTTCCATTTTCTAATGATTGCTCCAACAGTGGACCTTTTTTCACCAAGCTGCTTGGCAATTTCCCCGTAGCCCTTTCCAGCCTTGTGGAGGTGTACAATTTTGTCTCTAGTGTCTTTGGACAGCTCTTTGGTCTTGGCCATGTTAGTAGTTGGATTCTTACTGATTGTATGGGGTGGACAGGTGTCTTTATGCAGCTAACGACCTCAAACAGGTGCATCTAATCTAGGATAATAAATGGAGTGGAGGTGGACATTTTGAAGGCAGACTAACACGTCTTTGAGAGTCAGAATTCTAGCTGATAGACAGGTGTTCAAATACTTATTTACAGCTGTATCATACAAATAAGTAGTTAAAAAAATCATACATTGTGATTTCTGGATTTTTTTTTAGATTATGTCTCTCACAGTGGACATGCACCTACGATGACAATTTCAGACCCCTCCATGATTTCTAAGTGGGAGAACTTGCAAAATAGCAGGGTGTTCAAATACTTATTTTCCTCACTGTAATCAGAGGGAACATCTTGTCTACTTTAGTAGTAGCACAGGAGCGGCAGAGGGCCCCTTTTCCCACCTCAACAGGAGGAGGCTATTTGCACCATCATCATAGCAAATAATACCATTAGACTAAGGGAGATACAAAATACCATTATAGAAGACAACAATGACTTCAAAACATCCAATAAGTTAGCATCTAAACTATTGACAGGGTGCTGAAAAGACACCAGATGGGCATGAAACAGTCGTACCATGTGAAAGGAATGGTGACAGAGTGAAGGTACCAGTATGTACAGGCAAAGCATCTACGCACATACAGTAACTGTACTTTACAATAAACATTGTATAGTTATATACAGTACAGTAAGTATGACCTGTACACGTTTGCCATGGCTGTAGAAGGCAGAGAGCGTGGTCGAAATGTCATCGGCTGCAGAGCTACTGTGAAGGTGTCAGGCTAACGAGGAGGGAACATCACTATCAGTGCTGCTACTTCAGAGCTCGGTGTGTTAACTCATATTCCCATCGCACCCATACGACAACACAGCATCTGCTCAGCTTCTTAGACACCCTCTATAGCGATCTCATCCCTGATGATGAGAGGAGACGGATTACATTTACTCATTTAGCTGAGGTTGATTCGAGATGACACTCTCAGGTAATGGTTTGCGGCCCACAACAGGGGGAGGAGTTGTACTCAGCATGGAGGTGGAAGGTTCACGAGCCACAGATGACCCTGCTGGCTGCCATGGATGCAGCATGAGAGGACTTCACAGGAGACGCCTTCAGAGGCTGGATAAGACTTTCTAACATTGCAGGGGAAGATATCTGTTGTGGATATGAGTCTGCCCCAACAGACAGGACTGTCTGGCAGAGGTGCAACGATTGGTCGATTTATTGATTAGTAGATCGAAAGAAAATAAATTTTCAACTAATTTGATACTCGATAAATTGTTTTTGTCATTTTTTTTAAGCAAAAAATAAAAAATCTGCAGGTTTCATCTTCTTAAATGTAGGAATATGCTGCTTTTCTTTGTGATTTATGAGAAAATGAAGATACAATATGAAGACGTCACTTTGGGCTCTGGAAAATTGTGAGTTTTCTACTTTTTTTTGACATTTTAAAGGCTAAACGTCAGACCTCCAGTCAGGAGGTGTAGAAAGACTGCAATGTAATTTCCCCAAACAGCGTTGCATGTGCAGTCCTGCCTAATTGCTATTTCCCATGTTTACATTTCTAATTTTATAATTTTATCCATTAGGCTACTGTACAGTGCTATAAAACAGTCTTGTCTTTTTATTTTCTGTACCACAATAACATGGTCTGTCAACAAATTACAGTGAAAGCGTGACTGTGAATCCAGTCTAATTTCTTGAAATGTGTAACTCTGTGCTGTTGAAATTGAAAATGCGGCATACAAATACAGTACGGCTTCGTGCATTTCCAATCCTTGTTATCAAAACTCCAGCTATAGTTTTCAAATCAAGCATCAACTCCTCGTTCTGTTCAACTATCTGCTACAGTATGGTAGGGCAGCACAGACGGCTGCAACACGCTCCCTCCAGTTGATTCTCTCATATACTCATCGGACCGTGAGCAAAGAAGACGACCTCTGAAGCCATCACATCCTGCTCATCACGTCTCCTTCACTCAGGGAGGCACTACTGGTTCCTCCCCTCCTCACACTACCAGATGTATTCTTGTATTGTTATGCAGAGTGTCTAATACTGTCTGTGTGATGCAGAGTTTAACATAACTGGACTGAAAATACAATCCACCGGCCTGTCATGTGGCTAATAAACAATCTAACCTACATCAAAAAATAATTAAGAGTACACAAAACATAGCGAGTATTTCACCTATATATATATATATATATTTATTAAATATATAATAATAAATAATATAGTAAACAATGACATAAGGACATCTTATGGTGATGGCACTGACACAAATATTTACTTTTGAGAAATAAACTAAGGATTGTGAGCGTTTTTTAGTTATTTTAGTAAATAACCTTACTGTTTGTCAAATGTTGAGGATGATTAGAGAAATTTACCGAAGTGCCTGAGAAAAACTGTAATACTACTAATTTAATAAACTAATATTACCACAATAAACCCTGCAGATACCTACAAACCTTGCAGGTTGAATATTCTTCTTTTACTTAACTTATTAGATCAAAATATCAAAGACATTAACCCGCCTTCAGAGAAACAGTGACTTTGACGATTAATAACATCACTAATGATAAACATTTTATGCTACCAGCTAAGTGGTTAGCAAACAGTTGTAGCCTTCATAAACAAACTGGAAACTTACCTTCAGGTTCGCGGCAGAGAAAACAACTGAATGAGTCTGTATAAATAAAATTAAACAGTAAAACTTGTTAGAAATAACTCCAAAGAGCCTCTGCCCTTGTGCTGTACAAGCTAACAGCAGCACAGCTAACAGGCTGCTGCTTCCTGAGTACGGAGGCTCGGGGGGTACAAAACACGTTCAGCAGCGACTTTTTCATTTTAACTGACAGTCTCATGCAGAGAAGGACGTGATAGCCGCCCTACTAATAATATTAATAATAATCAGGGTCAGAGGTCTCATCTAATTACATTTAATGTTAAGATTTCCCGTGGCACACTCCTGGCTATTATTAATATAATAACTGATAGCTTTTCTTTCATGAACAGGAAAGAATTAATTAATTACAGTAACATATCAAACTTGAAGTACTGTATGTTGTTCATTTAGTGCGATTTCTACAGGCAGGACTTCACAAACAAAGCAAAACAATTTGCACACTTAAAGGAATCATCTCACACTGCCTGTGCTGATTCTGCAACTTTTACAATTTGTTCTTTATTTTAAGTCACTAGAAAATATCAAGCACACTTAAAATTGTGATTTTGTTCAGCTGTAGTTGCGGGAGTTCATCAGTAGGTGTCAGTGTGGTCGTTGAGGTTCCAGATGAGAGGAAAGTCCAGTTAAATTTGTGATTTTTAAATGCAGGTAAGAGACCCAGTGATGAGAATCACTGGTCAGTGAGATAAGATAAGAAAGGTCTTCAGTGTATTCATTCATAAAACATGCAAAGAAAATACAACGCGCACTCAATAAGCAGAGAAAACACCAATTTGCGGGTCTTTGGAAATTTAATTTCCTTCATGCAGACTCAGTATTCTCTCAGGTGAGTGAGCACCTGCTGCAGGGTTTTTTCCTAGTGTACAGTATGTGGATGCTGCAGGTCTCTGCTGTTCCCTGCAGGACTCTCAGCAGACCGGCAGCTGCACAAGTCTAAAATAAGATATTTGTTCACCTGAGTCACAAACACATCAGTTTACAGCAGCAGGTTAAAGTTTTGGGATGAAGGTTCAGAAATAATCTGTCTTTTTAAAGATAACTTCTAAACGCATGAAAATACAACAGTACTGTACCACTGCAGATACGTGTGTGTGGTTATTGATTCACTTATTTGGATGTGCGTTAGGATAGGTGCATAAGGAGAGGGAGGGATTTATACTCATGCACAGGGTCCAGATTTTCATGCTATGTATCTGCAAGAAGACTCGAGGACGGCTTCAAATTGTTTGAGAAAACCAGTTTGAAACTATTTTAGGGTGAAAGATCAAAAGGAACATTTCAGAGGTTGTTTTTTAATCAGTAACTTGTTTTGTTGTATTGTATTACTTTTATGGAGCAAAACAATAAAGTCATTAATGGAGAAAATAATCAGCAGTTTGGTTGATCATTAAAATAACTGTAAATTGCAGCCCAATTTATTATTATTAATCTTATTAATCAGTCTTCAGATTATTGACGTAATGATTTTCAATCGCAGTTTACAATCAACTGAAATAAAATAAAATAATTGTTTATGCAAGCTTGCAAATGATTTAAGGTGTTTTGCTCATTTTCTTCTTTTTTTTAAATCATATTTTATTGTAATTCCTTCCAATATTTTACTGTTGCTACTTTTAAATAGTCTCATTGCTGCAAGTGGTTGTCCTGATATAATTTAACCCATGTAAAACACCTTGTAACTTAGTGTTGAATAGATTAATAAGAACTGTAAGTTCTGCAGACACTGTTCTTGTAAGTGAAAGGCTGTTTTTTAATCAGTAACTTGTACTGTGAGCATGTTTTAAAGAGTTACTTTCATTACTTCAGTAACTCACGTAGATATTTCTCCTGCCTGACAGTCTTAGTACCTTGTGTGACCCACTGAGCTACACTGGAATCACAAAAGGGGAAAATATTTTGGGTTGTTTGACGTCCACACAGGGAAGACAGGTTGTGTGTGTGCAGAGAGCACGGTGGTCCGGCTTCTCTTGTTTCTTCACCTCGGCTGTGTGTACCGTCTCTCCTGTCCTCTTTTCAGATTCATTGCCAGGTAAATACACTCAGTCCCACCACAAACAGTAAACCCTGCGGCATGAGCAGGAGGAGGAGGGGAAAGAGGAGGAGGAGGAGCAGGATCCCAGACATCTCCACTCTGCTTGTTACAGAACTGAACACGAATAAAACAGAGAACAAAAAATCTCCCTTAAAATGGTGGGATGTCCATTTTTCACGAGTTTAATCCACAATCAATCTCTAGATCTACAAGAGAATTACCCCAGTGTAGAAATACTCTGATGCAAGTATAAGTCCTGCAGTCAATTTTTTTGCATCAAAATATACTTAAAGTAAAAGTATTCATTCTGAGGAATGGGCCATTTGAGAATAAATATTGATTCATTAATGTGTCCATCACTTTAATGTTGCAGCTGGTGAAGGTGGAGCTCATTTTAATTAGTTTAAATACATGACTGAATAGCTTTTGAATCACCCACTACTATTAATATGTATATATTGTATTAATAATCTGAATCTGCAGAGTAACTAAAGAGTAAAAAGTAGTTGTAGTAGTTTTAGTCCGATACTAAAGAGTTCAAATTGAGCACCACCTCAACAACTACATGAATGCATAATCTCACGATATAATATATAAAGAACAGTCACAGAGGACATTTTTCTGCATTGACTACATTTTCCTGATTATACTTTTACTTAAGTAACTTAATAGTATTTTTTAGTTTTTATTAGTACTTCCACTTAAGTAAGGGATTATTTGGTCCAGCACTGATAAAATCCTGCTTTTACATGAGTGCATGAGCATAATAATGTCATGATAAAATATATATTAGTATAACAGCCACAAGTGCATTTTCAAGTGGACACTAACTACTGTACTTAAGAATAAATTTGAGATACCTGTAGTCTACTTTGCTTGAGTTTGATTTACTTTTCATGCCACTTTCTACTTCTACTCCACTACATCTCAAAGGGAAATAATGTACTTTTTACTTCACTACATTTATCTGACAACTTTAGTTGCAAGTTACTTGACAAAATAAACTTTTTACACACTAATCTTATGAAAAGATTATAAAATATGATGTTTTGTTATTAACTAAACTACCCAACAGTTTATACAACTATGAATCAGCAGTTATTTTGATGGTTTAAGTAATTTTTCATGTATAAACATTTCATGGTTCCAGCTTCACAAATGTGAAGATTTTAATCATTTTAATGTTTGTTAATAATGTTGAATGGTTGGACAAAACGAAACATTATGAAGGTGTCACTTTGGGCTCTTTGTGATGACTTTTCTCATGATTTTCACATTTTTTATATAATAGTAGACTATAACAGTCACAGGGGACATTTTTCTGCAGTATTAATGGGCTACTTTTACTGAAGTTAAGGCTCTGAATAATTCCTCCACCCCTGGAGGTTTTGAATATTCAAATCAGAATGTGAGCTCGAGGAGGGATGGAGGGGACATAGCTGATTGGATACTGGTTCCAGCAGCAGCGCGAGCGCACGCAGGTGCCAGAGTCACACTCAGAGCAGGAACCGTCCCCGGTCACAGTCGCAGCTGCAGGTATGAGCCAGTCCCGGTTCTAAACCAGCCAGGATACACCGGACCGGTCAGGCTGCCAGCCGCGGACAGGTGCAACTCGTGCGTTTGTTGTTCCGCCTCACGTGGAGCTGCTTGGATGAATTTGTGTTGGAGGGTGAACGATGCTCAGCGCCGTTAAAATGGAGGGACACGAACATCCGGACTGGAGCGGCAGCAGCTACTACGGAGAGACCGAGGTCCGTGCACTTTACACCGGGATCTTTCTGAACTGAACTCCGCTGATATTACATTAGAACTGAGAGAAAACTAACTTTGTGATGAGACTGATCAATATTTCAGATAAACATCTAAATTAACATTATAGGAGTTTGACTAAATAACATATTCATTATACAGGCCGGGTGGTATTTTACTCACATATTAACTACACATTTTAACCTACATTTTACACAAATCCATGGAAAGATTATTTAAATATCTATATTTTGTAAATAGGAATATACCCTACCCACATAATGAATTGTCAAAAATGCATTGTATTGACATAGTTTACATTGCCTATGTTTTATTAATTGATTCTCATTTATTCTTTAACTTTAAACAACTTTATTGCATTAAAATGGGAGATTAGAGATGTGAATCCTGCAGCAAAAGAGTCATCATGCTGTTAAATAATAAATGCAGAATAAACCCATATTATCAGGAGACGAAATGCAATGCAAGAAGTTTAATAAAAATAGCAGAAAATGTGGTGGGTTTGGGGTTTGAAGGACTTTCACTTACTTAAAATCCACTTTTGGGTCTGCTTCGGTCATCTGTAATTAGCTCCTGTAAATTGCGGTCTCATTGATATGTTATTTAATGTGTTATGAATATATTAGAGAAGCAAGGGGAACGTTATTTAATGTCATTTAGAGAAAAACAAACGGGGCTAATAGCAGGAGGTTTCAGGCTACACAAGGAAAACGTTATAGGGAAATAGCCTTTATAGCCTAAAGGAAACACATGCAGTTAACGCAAATGTTTGTATAAAAATGATAGATTAATGGACAGTATAATACAGTTAGGCTACATTAGGCCTATAGAAAATGAAAAAGCATGTCCACAATGGTAAAAGTCGAACTGCAACGATTAGTCAATTACTCGAAAAATGCAATTATTTTGATAATCAATCATTTAGTCTTTTTAAACCAAAAATACCAATCGCCACCTCTCCCCACTTCTCAAATGTGAGGAGAAAATGTGTTGCTGTTTTTAATTGTCTAGGCCTAACAGGATAATAGTTAAGGGAATGTCTTTTAGGATTTGGCCTGCGGATTTTGAGACACTGTGATGGCATTTTTTTTAAATTTTTTTTTTTACAATTTTCATACCTTTGTTTTAGATCAAATAGCCTAATAGTTAGACTAGTTGCACAATTTGTAAACAAAATTAATTATTCTAGCCTGTTTAGGCTTAAGTTGTTTTATGTTTTTGATTTTGTGTTTTTTTTGTCTTCAAAGGCTAAGTAGTAACGGATTTGGTTTGATTTTAATAAAATGGGCACTGTTTTAAATAAAATTGTATTTATTTTA